CAAAAGCTTTCACTGTGCTAAAAATTAGCTTTTTTGTTTCAGATGGGACATGAAATGAACAATGGCACTATACTGTTTGCATGTTATGTAAAAAGAAGAGTGCGGCACTGCCTTTTTGGAAATAGAATGGAGATTGTTTGTATTTTCAAGAAAATTCCTGCTGTTGGCGGCCGGCTTACCAAGCCCTTGATTAAAGCAGAATAATTCAAGTGATGAAAAGTGATTTTGCATTCTCGATTGACCAAAATTTTGAATTCTTGGTTGCCCTTCTCTCAATGTACTCGCATATAGTACTTATTGCCATTTATCCTACTAGGTTGTTCCGCAAATGTTTTGATCTTTCAAACGAGAGTAACATCAAGCTCATTTGATGCAACTTCGCAATATCTTTCATACGTTTTGACTGATTCATTGCCTGAACTCTCAGAGAATTAAAAAACTACGACCCATAGCTCTTCCATGGTCATGTCACAATTTTTCGAGTTCCAAGTAATAGATGAATATAGCGAACCCCTCAAGGTTACAAAACAATTTGTTTCTCCCTTATGTGTTCGCCTACGTAAAGTGACAATTTTTTGAATTCCAAGTAACTGATAAATTTAGCGAACCCTGGAGCATCGGTCATACCTTTGGCGATTCCATCGTAGCGATTCTCATCGCTGGGGCATCGAATGCCTCGGCGTCCAATTGCTTCGGGACTAATCGCATTCGCTCATTCTGGGCATACCTTCCACAAACTTGTAGCACACAAACTACGCCCGAACCAACTCAGACATTATCGAGTTGAATTCGTTAACACCTCTCACTTCTTTTCAAGCACTAACCTCGCTTTATTACGTTGTTTCTCCTTACCCGGTTTCGTTTTGCAGTTCCAAGAAAAAAAAAGAACTAAACAATATGCGACGCCTAATAAGGAAAATGTGCTCAACGGAAGAAGGTATCTGCTGTCTGCCAAGCGGTGGATGTAAGCGAAGTGAAGGATTCATACATATCTAAAAAAATATATTAGCAGACAGTACCACATCGTTGTCCGCG